GGACTAATATATGCAAATATCTTTGTATTTAAGGTGTTATATGACAACAAATAACAAAGATTGTACACTATAAGCCAAAACTGAAAAAGACATAGGCATCCCACTGTTCACTACAGCACTACTTACAAAAGCTAGAACATGGAAGCAACCTAGATGTCCATTGACAAATGAATGGATAACGAAGTTGTGCTACATATACACAATGGAACATCACTCAGCCATAAAAAGGAATGCATTTGAGTCAGTTCTGATGAGGTGGATGGACCTAGAGCCTATTATACAGAGTGAAGTAAGTCAGAAAGAAAAAGATAAATATTGTATACTAACGCATATATACACAATCTAGAAAAATGGTACTGAAGAATTTATTTTCAGGGCAGCAATGGAGAAACAGACATAGAAAATAGACTTATGGACATGGGGAGAGGGGAGGAGAGCATGAGATGTATGGAAAGAGTAACATGGAAACTTACATCACCATATGTAAAATAGACAGCCAACGGGAATTTGCTGTATGTCTCAGGAAACTCAAACAGGGGCTCTGTATCAACCTAGAGGGGTTGGATGGGGAGGGAGATGGGAGGAAGTTTCAAAAGGGAGGGGACACATGTATACCTATGGCTGATTCATGTTGAGGTTTGACAGAAAACAACAAAATTCTGTAAAGCGATTATCCTTCAATTAAAAAATAAATTAATTAAAAAAAAAGATTGTACACTATAACCCAGTGAGATTCATCCTAGGAGGGCTAGGTTGATTTAACATCCCCAAATCAATCAATATAATAATAAAAGACACCAACAGAATAAAAGACAAAAACCATATGATAATCTGATAGTTAATGGAGTTCAGGAAATGCTACTGAAAACATGGTGCCTGGGTACACCGAATATATTAAGCTGAAGGAGTCTGAGAAAACAGCAGAAGCAAGAAGGTCACTCTGACCTTTCCTTCCCTCCTCCCTCGAAACAGGCCATAAAACCCTCGTGTGACAGATGCCCTCCCAGTACCCAGAGGAAAGGAGCTCCTTATCTCTAAGGACAAAGGTGGAAAAGAAAGTGAACACACACCTCTTGCTGGGTCTTCCTCAGCTTACCACACTCACAGTATTGTCTTTACCACACCACATTCCTTCATGAACATCCACTTTTCGTGAAAACCAGCATAAACAAACTCAGGTCTGTTTGTGCATGTCTCTATTTCCTTATGAGGCTACCGCATCACATAAAACATACAGGAAATATATCTATATGCTATTCTCCTGTTTATCTGTCTTTGCCGGTTTAATTTTCAGACGCTGTCAGCGACCCTAGGAGGACCAAGGAAAACTTTCTCCTCTCCTATATAGATAAAGGAAAAGCACTGGCTAAAATCCAACAGCCTTTCATGACTGATTTTTAAGTAACACCCAAAAAGTAGGAATATAAGAGAATGTCCTTCCTGATAATGGGCATCTAAGAAAAACCCAAGCCCACAGCTAACATCACTTCATGGTGAAAGGCTGGAAATTTCCCTCCAAAGACATGAACACAACAAAGACGTCTGTTCTCTCCACTTGTACTCAGCATCATATAGGAGGTTCCAGCCACAGCAAGTAGGCAGGAAAGTGAATAAAAGGCACCCAGATTGAACAACAGGATATAAAACTAAACCTAAAGATCACGGGTCTTGAAAATTCTAAGGCTCTACAAAAAACGATTCGTGCTTATAATAAGTAAGTTCAACAGGGTCTCGGGATATGAGGTCAATGTATAAAAATCAGCTGTGTTTCTATACACTTGTAATGAACAATCTAATAATGAAATTAAGAAAGCAATTCCTTTTATTTGTTGTTGCTTTTCAGTTGCCAAGTCGAGTTTCATGAACTGTAGCACACCAGGCTCCTATAGAGTAGTATCAAAATGAACACATAGGAATACATTTAATGAGAGAAGTTCAGTTTGTACCTTGAATACTGCAAACACTAATGAAAGAAATATTAGAAGGCCCAAGTAAAAGGAAAAACAGCCCATGTTCCCATACAACTTTGAGAGGGTGAATGGAATGATATGTGATATTAAAATGCTGCATAGCTTATAAGATATAAAAATACATGCCAGCATCACAAGGTATTAGTAATAATAATACCCACATACACCTAAGTTATGACCTGCTTAAAAACAGGAGACAATATTATGAAGCTGAAAAAACTGCTCCTTCAGTTTCTCCTACCAGGATTATTGAACCAAATTCAAAATATAGCTTTAGCATGCACCCCAAATACAGAAATTATCTATGTTCATCAGAAGTGGTGTGAAGCTAATGCACAGTCATCTCTGCATTTCAAAACGATCTGGCAACTTACTGTCACTATGCAAAAATCAATTTTATGAGCAACTGTATACCCTTAACAGAACAGCTACTTTTAAAAAACTGTCATAATGCCTGCTCATAAACCTATATGAATCCAAACAGGAGCCTTTAGAGTGAAGTAAATAAAGTTCAGCAGTTTTACATCTTTGGGGAAAGCAGAATTTTGGATATGAAATATTTATGCTCCTTCACGATGTAAATTTAATGAGCCTCAGCATTATGAAATAATTGATTATTATTTAGAAATCCTGATAGGAAACCCCCTAGAATACAAACTATAAAGCTTTCCATTTTAAGACCAAACGACTGCCTTCTTTAAAATCTTTATTTGCATGTTTTCCCCATAAACTTAGCAATTCAGGAGAAGATAACGACAGAAAGGCCATCATCAAGACCGTTTAAAGCTCACAGTTCAACACACCGCTGTAGCATCCATCACCTTGGGACACAGGCTGTTTTGTGATTCTATATCTCCTAACAGCAGTTTGTAGAGCCAATTAGGTATCAGCACCCGTATTCTCCAAAGGAGAGACATAAACACCATTTCTGTGGCTGTAGGCAGCTGGTCTTGGGAAGAATGCACTGAACTGTGGGAGACGCATTTCAGGAAGGCTCTGATGGAAGGGGAAGCATTAAGTCTTTCTCTCCTACTGAAGGCAGTGACTAGAACCCTGGTGGATGGGAGGGGGTTCACTTCAGGAGCTATTCTGTTGGCCAGTGGCCTCTGCACCTGCACCCAGGGCAGCAGAGACACCTGCCGGGTGCTGAGGTTTGCTCCAGGAAACGGCTCAGCACACAGTAGGTCTGTCTGACTGCTCTCCTGGGGAGAGGTGAATCAGAGGCCCTGAACATTCCTGCGCCTGAGAGGATCTCAGGGCACTTTTCCAAGCCTGAGGCTATGACTCTGAGCATTTGGCCAAATTCCAACTCAAGTAATTATATTCTGCTTCTTGAATTTTCCCTGCTGTTCATTCCCATTAGGGACAGCGCTGTTCTTCCTTTTTTTTTTTCTCTTTTGCCTTTTCAGAAAAAAGGGACCGAAATTCTTGTTGAATTCGCTAGTATTGCTGACAGAAGAAAAGGCCAAGCACCGAGTTACAATAGGAACGTCCTGACCGGTAATGAACAAGATGATTGCTGAGCTTGAACCTGGACACCAGATAAAGATCTCAGAGAGCAAGACCCTTTGGGGTGGAATCAAACAATGGTGTCATGATAGCCCAGCGGATAACAGCCACCCAGGCTTGTCTGTGACTACCGTGTGGAGTAATCATTGGGCCATGTCTCAGCCCACACAGTAAAAGCAGACATTCCTGCAAGTGTTTTTATTTCTAGTATTAGCATAGCTATAGACACACTCCCATGGATTTGGCTGGGGACCTTCAGCAGAAACGGTGGCGCTAGTAGCAAAGAACCCGCCTGCCAATGTAGGAGACATGAGACGCAGGTTCAATCCCTGGGTTGGGAAGATCCCCTGGAGAAGGGCATGGCAGCCCACTCCAGTATTCTTGCCTGGGAAATTTCATGGACAGAGGAGCCTGGCAGGCTACAGTCCACGGGGTCGCACAGAGTCAGACACGACTGAAGCGATTTAGCACACCTGCATGCTCCAGCAGACATCCAGAATGACCTGAATGAGCCAATTTCTCTTTAACGCCAGGGACCCTAAAAACAAAGCAGGCCACCATCTCTGAGATGGTCAAAGATGTAATGTCCGACAACAGCAACCTGGGGCAACTCAAACGTCCATGCACTGCTGGTGGGTGTGTAACTGGGCAGACACCTTTCATACCAATTCGGCAGCATCTCGTAAAATTAAGTTTCTACCCGACATCTCAGCAACTCTGCCTATAAGAACACACCTCACCCAGGTTCTCACAAACTGCATGTGGAGGCATGCACGTGCACACACACACATGGGTGTGTACTTCAGCCATGTCTGTTATTGAGAAAAACTGGGTCTTAGGGGGAACTAAATATTCATAAATGAATACAAAAATACAATGTACTATACTTATATGATGCAATCTCATGGGCTGACCTAAAAACATAATGTTAAGAGGGGAAAAAAAGAAGAGAGTGATTTGTACTGTTCAATGCCACTCATTAGAATTTACAAAGGCGGGATTTCCCTGGTGGTCCAGTGGCTAAGACTCCACGTGCCCACTGCAAGGGGTGCAGGTTCGATTCCTGGTCCAGGAACTAAGATCCCACATGCTGCGAGGCATGGCCCCCAAAAAAGAATTTAAAAAAGGCAAACATGACTTTTTCTGAACACATGATTATGGGAAGCTCTGTACACACACACACACACACACATACTAAGCATGTAGAAACACACAGATTTGCAGAGTTTTGGTTGCTCAGCTCCCAACATTCTATTCTGAGGTTGGATATTTGAACATACGAAAGTATTCCCATAGTTCCCGTTCCTGATTTTCACTTTCAAGGCACTTAATCATTTTTCACTTACAATGCATCACACATGACACATGTATTCATTTCTGGGCGAGCACAGCGCCGCCTAGAGGTCCATCGGGGACTCTCTAGACAGGACAGACTCCCCTCCAGGTTGCAGCACTTTCTCCCATCCATAACAAACACACCCCCAACCATGTCCCTGAGGATTAAAAGTTGAGGCAACTTACTACATGGATGTCCTAACACCTTCACTTCATCAATAGCGAGGTAACCTTGATGTCCAGAAGTTATGACTTCAAAAATCACCTGGAAGATTAAGAAAGGTTTTCATTATTCATTCATTTTATCAACTTTGACCTAATATTTCCTAAAGATAAGATACCTCATTTCAACCATTCATTCATGTTTCCCACAGACATCATTGAATGCCTAGTAATCTGACAGTCAAATGGTCTAGGTTCTAAAACTGCAAAAACAACTAAGACTAAAACTCGGTTTTTGGGGAGGTGAATGTGGGGAGCAGACAGCACTGCAATCAAGGTCTCACCCCATAAAGGTGAGGGGGGACCCTGGGGAGGAACCAATACTCAAAAGACAGGTTGAGTCATCTTCCAGAGGTGATGTTAAGATTTAAATTGCTTTAAGATAATATATTTTCTGGGCTTTCTCCATGGCTCAGCAGTAAAGAACCTGCAATGCAATGCAGGAGCCTCAGGAGGCATGGGTTCCATCTCTGGGCGGGGAAGATCCCCTGGAGAAGGGAATGGACATCTACTCCAGTATTCTTGCTTGGAGAATCCCATGGGCAGAAGAGCCTGGTGGGCTTCAGTCCATAGGGTTGCAAAGAGTCAGACACAACCAAAGTGACTTATTATGCACGCATGCAAAGTATCTTCTGGTCAACTTCTTTGAGGGGACTATATGGACCAGATGGAACCACATGGGGTCTTAGGTTTTATACAACTAACGCATGCAATTAAAATGTTTAAAGTACTATGAAAGAAGAGAACAGGATACTAAGAGGACATACTCCAGAGGACCTTCCATGAGGAAGTGGTGTTTGAGCTGAGAGCTGCGGGTGAATGAGCCAAAGGTGAGAAGAGTGTAAGGTATCTTCCCGGGAACGTGCAAAGGCCCTGAGGTGGACATGACCATGACCATAAAGAGGAAAACTTGGACCTACAGCTCTAAAGGTCACCTGTGACCAGGCTCAGAGGCTCCACTCATAGAGCAATTCCAGGGAACACACCATATTAGAAATACAGAGAGCTAGGCTGGCTGAAATTCAGATGGTAGAGTATGAATTGGGAGGAAAATGATATAAAAATCTTGTGAGGAAGGCTTTACAACTGTTTGATCCTGAGAGAAGCAGGGCAACAGAAAAAGGGCAACATGCTCTGAGGTTCTCAAGATGAATATAACACTTTGACATCGTGGACTCAGAGAAGTTGAGGCTAAAGGAGAAAAAAGAACCACTAACAAAGTTTTCAATTTTCTAAACATGACTGTCTAAAGCTCTCCATTGTCAGGCTAGTGTTAATGCTAACGGGTCCACATGACATTACTACCTCCATTCTACACGGCAGGAACCCGTGTCACGAAGGAGACCTCATGAAGAAGATCATTCTTAATGCACAACCCAGCAATTCCACCGTTCAAGAAGTGAACTTTTTTATTCATATAAAAACCTGCACATCAATGTTTATAGAAGCTTTATTCATGAAAACCAGAGGGCAGAAACAGTACAGATGCCGTTCAAATGATTAAACAGACAGTGGTACGTCCATGGTTACTAGTCAGCACTAAAAAGGGACAATTTTTTTTTAATTGGAGGGTAATTGCTTTACAATGTTGTGTTGGTGGCCATGTAAGAATGTGAATCAGCCATAAGAATACATATGTCCCCTCCCTCCTGTGCCTCTTGCCCACCTCCCAGCGCATCCCAACCCTCTAGGTCACCACAGAGCGTGAGCTTGAGCTCCCTGTGGAATACAGCAACTTCCCACTAGCGATCTATTTTACACATGATCGTGTATGTGTCTCAGCGCTACTCTCTCAATTTGCCCCACTTTCTCCTTCTCCTTCCCCTGCTGTGTCCACAAGTCTCTTCTCTATGTCTGTTTCTACTGCTGCCCTGCAAATAGATTCATCAGGCCCATTTTTCCTAGATTCCTTACATATGCATTATTATATAACATCGGTTTTTCTCTTTCTGACTTACTTCTGTATTAACAGCCTCTAGGTTCGTCCACCTCGCTAGAAATGACTCCAATTCAAGGAACTAACTACTGACACAACTAGTGATGGGATGAATCTCCAGAGAACGGTGTTGAGTGAAAAAGCCCATCACAAAAGATTACATGCAATGTGATTCCATTTATGTAACAACATGTAATGTCAGCATTTTAGAAATGGAGGCCACGTGAGTGCTTGCCAGGGCTCAGGGATGGATGGAGAAGGAGCAGGAGCTCAGATCAGTTCGGTCACTCAGTTGTCTCCGACTCTTTGTGACTCCATGGAAGGAGCAGGAAAGATGGGCAAAGTCTTAACCACTGGGATGCAAGTGGACATGCCTGCTCAGTTGCTCAGTCCTGTCCAGTTTTTTGCAACCCCATAAACTGTAGTCCACCAGGTTCCTCTGTCCATGGGATTCTCCAGGCAAGAATACTGGAGTGGGTTACCATTTCCTACTCCGAGGGATCTTTCCGACCCAGGGACTGAACCCGTGTCTCCCAAGTCTCCGTCATTGCAGGCAGATTATTTACTGCTGTGTCACTTGAGAAGCCAGGGAAGTTCTTACACAAGTTTCTTAAAAGCATATTTAAGCATGCCCTGAAAAGCTTTTCTCGTCGTGAACCCTTGCTATCTGGCAAGTTTTCCATTTTGTACTTTTTTCTAGCCAGTGCCCCTGCCAAGAAAGCTTCAGAAGCAGAAACAGTTTTGTCTCTTTTTTTCAAACACTGGTCCACTCTATCAAAAGACAAGTACTGCTGCACAGAAATATAACACACATATGAAGGGGTGGGAGTGGATCACAGGAGTGTCTGAAGATGCCTGCATCCACAGCCAAAAAGATAGAAGTCAGAGGAGACTAACACAAGACCATAGACAGCACCACTGGAAAGCAAAAAAAAAAGGGTGTAAAAATTGATGTGGGATGTGGCCATGCTTATTTTTATCAAACAGGACAGAATCTACTAAAAATCTATATTAGAAGAAGGACTTGAGTCTCTTAAGGGAAACACACTGATTTTTTTCTTTATAAAAAAATCAATAATTCAAAAAACATTTATTTACCATTTACATCCATGTCCCAGGCACCTTTTGTATGTATTATCTAATTTTTCTCAGTCAACCATATCCACTGGAGTGAATATTATCTACCTCAGTAGATACAGAACAGACTCAGTAAAGTGATTTTTCTGAGGTCACATACTCAGGGTGTAATTTCAGGTCTATTTTACTTCCAAGTCTCAACTTTTTTCATGTGACTTGACTGCCTAACCTAGCAGGTATGAGAGACCATATGTAGAATAAATACTCATATGTATGCATATACACATATAACATACAACCATGCATACACACACGTGTGTGTGTACTCAGTCACTTCAGTCATGTCTGACTCTGCAACCCCATGGACTGTAGCCCACTAGGCTCCTCTGTCAATGGGATTTTCCAGTCCGGGCAAGAATACTGAAGTAGGTTGTCATTTTCTCCTTCAGGTTATCTTCCCCACCCATGGACCGAGCTTGCATCTCTTACGCTTCCTGCATTGGCAGATAGGTTCTTTTTTGGCAGCAGATAGGTTCTTTACCACTAGTGCCACCTGGGAAGCCCATATACATATACACATAGACACAAATATATATAATATATATATATAACTTTTAATGCATAAATGTATATATGTTCTAAATTCTTTATTTCTAGATTGAAGTAAGAATGTAGCCATCTTTGACCTTGAAATAGAGCTGCAAGGGCCAAACTATATGACACAGTTTTAACAACACAAACTTTAAGACAAGGGTCAGCAAACTATAGCAAATGGACCAAATCTGCCCCTTATCTCTTGTTTCTGTCTGGCCCACAAACCATGGATGGTTTTTACAGTTTTCACTGGTAGGAGGCACTCAAAAGAAGATTTTGTGATACACGAGAAATGTGTGTCTCTGTGTGTGCGCTTAGTCGCTCAGTTGTATCTGACTCTTTGTGACCCCATGGGCCATAACCCGACAGGCTCTTCTGTCCATGGAATTCTCCAGGCAAGAATACTGGCGTGGGTTGCTATTTCCTTCTCCTGGGGATTTTCCTGACCCAGGGATCGAATCCAGGTCTCCTGCATTGGCAGGCAGATTCTTTACTGCCTGAGCCACCAGGGGAGCCCAAAATGAGTATATGAAACTCAAATGTCCATGTCTGCAGATTAAGCTTTATTGGAAAGCAGTCACACCCATTCATTTATGGATTATCCATGGTGACTGTCACAATCTCAGCACCGTGGAGTTGCTGCCACAGAGACCATCTGGCTTGAAAAGCCTGAAATATTTACTATCCAGCCTCCTGCTTTAAGAGGAAACCTTCCTGCTTGGCTCACCAGCAGCTGCCATTACTCTGGATAACAAGAAAGCACACGTCGACAGCAATAGTTCCTCACAGCAAGTTCAATATGCTTTGCACTTGCTGGGGGAGCCTTGTACTCCTCTGGCAATGTCAGGGAGAAAGCCCTCTCCTGGGCTGACTTGTTTCAACTCTATTACAGGGGTGGGTGTTTTCAATGCCCCCCTTACCTTGCAGTAATCATTACCAAATTTTTAAAGCATAAAACAAACCTATGAATTACTTGATAGACCTCAAAACACTGTCTTAAAAATTAAGCTAAAAATGAAAAAGGGCTTCCTTGGTGGTGCAATGGTTACGAATCTGCCATGCAGGGGATACCAGTTTGATCCCTGGTCTGGGAAGATCCCACATGCTGCAGAGTAACTAAGCCCGGGTGCCACAGTACTGATTGCGTGCTCTAGAGCCGGTGCTCTGCAACAAGAGAAGCCATCGCAATGAGGGGCCTGCACAGGACAGCTAGATAGTAGCTCCCATTTGCCGCAACTAGAGAAAGCCCACACGCAGCAACAAAGACCCAGTGCAGCCAAAAAATAACTTGGAAAAAAAATTTTTTTCTTTAAATGAAAGAAAACCCAGCTCATGTAGAAGGCAAATCCTCTATAAAGAAGCCAAACTACGAAGAATTTATAATAAAAATTTCATAGTCAAGCCTCTCACATCTCATTCTACACAAAGTCCTTTGG